AAATATATATTAATGTTTTTTAATAGAATATTATGAAAAAAAAAACTTTTTATCTAAACTTATGTTTATTTTCACGTATTAATTTAAAGTATCATTTACATTTTTATAGAAATAAGAGGATTTTTATAACATCAAAAATAAAGAAAAGAAACAACTTATAATATGTTTGGGAAATGGAGGCGTAACGCTTCGAATCTTATACCGATGAGGACTTGTGAAAAAAATTTGATATATAATTGTGAAAAAGAACTGCTATTAATAACTTGAATTTAAGTTTTTAAAAACTTATGTATTTTGGCCCAAAAAGTTGTTAAGTTAATAGCAAATTTCAATTTGGGTGGTTTCAGGAGGGGAGGAGAAGACTTTTTAATTAATCAAATTATAAAAATTATAAATTAGGGATAATAGCTTTGTTAAATGATAAATTAGGTAAATATATTGAAATTTGTTAAAGTGTGGGTTGAACTTAATTTTTAATAATTTATTTAAAAAAATTATTGTCTCTTTAAAGGTACATTAAATAGAGTCCCAATGAGAGGAAAGGGAAAATTGCCACCTTTAAATAGTATATTTAATTTGAAGGAAATAGTTAAAAGAGAACAAATGAGGTTTTTCTTTTTTTTTAGCAACCCTTTTAGTGCACAATGAGAAATAACCCTCTCTCATTCCTTAATCTACCCCACCCATATGCCATTTGATTTGAATTCTGGACCTCTTTCTTCTTCCATTAGAAAAAAAATCATTATTGAGTTGCTTAAGTTATTGGCAAAAGAGATATATTTTATAACCAATAAAATTATAGTATTTTCAAACATTGCAATCTTATTGGTTGATAAATCCATCACTTCCCTTCCTTTAAACCAAACACACCTTTAAGAAAGATTTTCAAATCCTAAAGAAAAAAAAAAGTGTAAAAGCTAAGTTGCTTAAATAATTGTAAAGCTTATTTGAACTAAAATATTAAATTGAAATATTACTACCAAAATTTAAATATTAAGGAGTGTATTTTTAAATTAGAACTAATTTAAAATTTATTAAAAAAATTAAAAATATACCAAAATAAATATAGAATATTAGATGTGACACAAATAAGGAAAAAAAAATTATTTTAAGAGGAAACAAAAAAATACTTTATCAATTATTGAACATAATATCCATTAATATAACACAACTCATAAAATAACATAAGAGTATAATATGAAATACGTGGTTTAAATATGGATTCTAAAGTACTGAAACATG